TTCCACCACCCCGTCCGCAAACCCTCCCGTAAAGTCCCCCAGCACGGACAAAGGCGCTAGGGAGCAGGGATGTCACCGGTTCTTCCATAGTGCCACAAACCACGAGCGGGGGTGAGCGAACGAGCTTTCCTGGCAAACTTTGCACTAGTTGTTCCCCAAATACTCTCCATATACTGTATACATTTGTTCTTCATTTTTTTTACATCCTCAAAATGAAATTCATTTTTACATTAGGACTGAGCTTCTGATAATTCATTGAAGTGAAATGGTGAGAAGAGAAATGGAGTGAGGCCTTATTGTGAAAATATTGAAGCAATGGTGCATATTGTGACTTAGGTATTGTGTGGTACTTGGTAGAAAGATGTGTCATCTCATATGTCTATGCAAACACTGTGGCTTTTACAGAATGGAATTTAAGTGAATACTATCTGTGTCTTATCAAATACCTTGGGTTGTTAAATATCACTATATCCACTGAGACAAAGGTGAAAGCACTTAAAAATATTGTTCCAGGAAATCTGGACATTTTACTCAGTTATGTGAAATCTGAAAGGAAGAGATGCGTGTGATCAGGTAGTCATATAGCAAATGTGTGCGCGCTTTGCAACTATCCTTTGTTATCATATTGGTTTTTGTTTATAATTCTGCAACGGTAACCATAATCATTAATTTGTGCTAAATCTTAGAAGAAAAAAAGCTGGGGGCACTGAAATTACCACGAAGAGGGACTAACAAATACTGCTCAGATTTCACTGATTTAATTGTAGATTAACCCACAGTATTTTCACATGGTTGTTTTAGATTTGGGATGGGGTGTACATTTGCTTATTGCGCATTATTTTATTTGAGTTGGTGAGAAATATGTTATGCATTCATCATTGCTCATGTTTATGTGAGGATATTTGTTAAATTCAGGGTGATATTGATAATAGGACTAGGCTTATTATCAATATACTCCATATGAAAAGTCAAACAGTTTAGCAAATAATTTACATAAGTGGGAAATCGTAGAGACGTTTTTATTGTAAAACCCAAGTTTTGCACCATTTTAGGCGTACAAATTATAAGTGAAATCATTGGAAATGCAAACCGATAGGCTATTTGAATTAAAATGTAAGCTTATTTCTTCTCTTTAACAATGATCGCATTGTTTGATTGTTTAAAATGTAGCTCATAAACATCTTACTAGGCTAGGTCTACTGTATTTAATTGGAAATTCGATATGTCGATTGGTTTCAATTTTACCTCAGTGATGATTTGGAAAAGTAGGCTATTAGAATCGAGATGATTTAACGATATATTTATTGTTCAATTGGAATATGTAGGCCTACGCTGAATTTCTACTCGCGTGATATACAGTATCTCTCAAGATCTAAGACTTGTGGCTATTGGATAGTTGGCATAACAATAGTTTCAATTACACAGTTTAGTTATAGCCTACTTTTATATAACGTTCAACACCCTTTATCACAATATTTCACATTTCAATAAAAGCACATACATTTTATTGTAACCATGTGCAAAAAACACTACTCAGACCCATGTTTTCCTTCTATTTTTTACCAATGCCCTGCCACTGGCATTAAACAAAGCCTGTGTGTCCATGTACAGTGGGGGAAAAAAGTATTTAGTCAGCCACCAATTGTGCAAGTTCTCCCACTTAAAAAGATGAGAGAGGCCTGTAATTTTAGGTACACGTCAACTATGACAGACAAAATGAGAAAAGATTTTCCAGAAAATCACATTGTAGGATTTTTAATGAATTTATTTGCAAATTATGGTGGAAAATAAGTATTTGGTCACCTACAAACAAGCAAGATTTCTGGCTCTCACAGACCTGTAACTTCTTATTTTCTTCTTTAAGAGGCTCCTTTGTCCTCCACTCGTTACCTGTATTAATGGCACTTGTTTGAACTTGTTATCAGTATAAAAGACACCTGTCCACAACCTCAAACAGTCACACTCCAAACTCCACTATGGCCAAGACCAAAGAGCTGTCAAAGGACACCAGAAACAAAATTGTGAATCTGCAATAGGTAAGCAGCTTGGTTTGAAGATATCAACTGTGGGAGCAATTATTAGGAAATGGAAGACATACAACACCACTGATAATCTCCCTCGATCTGGGGCTCCACGCAAGATCTCACCTTGTGGGGTCAAAATGATCACAAGAACGGTGAGCAAAAATCCCAGAACCACACGGGGGGACCTAGTGAATGACCTGCAGAGAGCTGGGACCAAAGTAACAAAGCCTACCATCAGTAACACACTACGCCGCCAGGGACTCAAATCCTGCAGTGCCAGACGTGTCCCCCTGCTTAAGCCAGTACATGTCCAGGCCCGTCTGAAGTTTGCTAGAGTGCATTTGGATGATCCAGAAGAGGATTGGGAGAATGTCATATGGTCAGATGAAACCAAAATATAACTTTTTGGTAAAAACTCAACTCGTCGTGTTTGGAGGACAAAGAATGCTGAGTTGCATCCAAAGAACACCATACCTACTGTGAAGCATGGGGGTGGAAACATCATGCTTTGGGGCTGTTTTTCTGCAAAGGGACCAGGACGACTGATCCGTGTAAAGGAAAGAATAAATGGGGCCATGTATCGTGAGATTTTGAGTGAAAACCTCCTTCCATCAGCAAGGGCATTGAAGATGAAACGTGGCTGGGTCTTTCAGCATGACAATGATCCCAAACACACCGCCCGGGCAACGAAGGAGTGGCTTCGTAAGAAGCATTTCAAGGCCCTGGAGTGGCATAGCCAGTCTCCAGATCTCAACCCCATAGAAAATCTTTGGAGGGAGTTGAAAGTCTGTGTTGCCCAGCGACAGCCCCAAAACATCACTGCTCTAGAGGAGATCTGCATGGAGGAATGGGCCAAAATACCAGCAACAGTGTGTGAAAACCTTGTGAAGACTTACAGAAAACGTTTGACCTGTGTCATTGCCAACAAAGGGTATATAACAAAGTATTGAGAAACTTTTGTTATTGACCAAATACTTATTTTCCACCATAATTTGCAAATAAATTCATTGAAAATCCTACAATGTGATTTTCTGGATTTTTTTTTCTCATTTTGTCTGTCATAGTTGACGTGTACCTATGATGAAAATTACAGGCCTCTCTCATTTTTTTAAGTGGGAGAACTTGCACAATTGGTGGCTGACTAAATACTTTTTTTCCCCACTGTATGCTGATGAGTCAACCCTATACGCGTTAGCAACGACAACTAATGAAGTCACTGAAACCCTTAACAAAGAGTTGCAGTCAGTTTTGGAATGGGTGGCCAGTAATAAACTGCCTGAACATCTCTAAAACTAAGAGCTTGGTACAAATCATTCCGTAAGTTCTAGACCTCAGCTGAATCTGGTGTGGCTGTTGAAGATTTTGAGGAGACTAAATTACTTGGCGTTTCCTTAGATTGTAAACGTCATGGTCAAAACATATCGATTCAATGGTTGTAAAGATGAGGAGAGGTCTGTCCGTGATAAAGATATGCTCTGCTTTTTTGACACCACACTCCACAAAGCAAGTCCTGCAGGCTCTAGTTTGATCTTATCCTGATTACTGTCCAGTCATATGGTCAAGTGCTGCAAAGAAGAACCTAGTTAAGCTGCAGCTGGCCCAGAACAAAGTGGCAAATGTTGCTCTTCATTGTAATCAGAGGGCTAATATCAATACTATGAATGCCGGTCTCTCTTGGCTAGGAGTTGAGGAAAGACGGACTGCATCACTTATTGTTTTTATAAGAAACATTAATGTGTTGGAAATTCCAAATTGTTTTCATTGTCAATTTACACACAGCACTGACACACACACATACCCCACCAGGAATGCCACCAGGGGTCTTTTCAGTCCCCAGGTCCAGAATAAACTCAAGGAAAAGTACAATATTATACAGAGCCATGAGTACGTGGAACTCCCTTCCATCTCATATAGCTCAAGTGAACAGCAAACCTGGTTTCAAAAAAACAAATATTGCAACATCTCATGCCTCTCCCCCATGTGATTTGTTTAACACTTTTTTGGTTACTACATGATTCCATATGTGTTATTTCATCGTTTTGATGTCTTCACTATTATTCTACACTGTAGAAAAAATAAAAAATAAACCTTGAATGAGTAGGTATGTCCAAACTTTTGACTGGTACTGTATGTTTAACTAAATAGATGTACACACAAGCACCCTACATGTTAATGTTTTTAAATGTATGTCAATTGTAAAGTATTTTGTCTGTAATGTCTTTTTTGTTATGGGACCCCAGTAAGACTAGCTGTCACCATTGGCATCCTAATAAAATAAAATAAAAAATATACCAAAAGTGATTGATTTGTGATCAGCAATATTTAGCCTTTACTTTGTCCACAGAAACAGTCTGAGTACTGATGATAAAAAACATAATTGTATTATTGTTCTTTTTGAATGCCTAGAAATCAATAATATAGGTTATCCGTTTGTTGTTAGAAATACATCATAAGATGTAGGCGTGTCTTTTTATATTCGATCCAGTTAACTAGCCAATGCATCAATATTCTCTATTATTTCAGCAAATACTCTTCACAATTGAATATTTGTATCAGGTTCACTATTCCCTCGTCTCCCTTCATCACCCCCTCCTTCTTTCTCCCGCTCTGTTGGTTTCTCTCACTTTCCATATGATAAGCGCGCAATGCTTTTCTGTTGTCTGTCTGGAGATTCTGAAGCCTTGCAGTGGATTGTAGACGCCCATCATCGTATCCAAAACATGGCGGACTATACCCCATGAAGCTACAATGCATAGTCTGCCCTACATTATCATTCATGGCCTTTCTAGGTATTGAATTGACATTAAAATGTTGGTCTTCGCCGAGGATTATCTCTCAACTCATGCCTAAACTTTCGAAACTTGTCGTTTATTCCTGCCTGTTGAATGAGATTTGAAACAAAGTAGAACATTAGCTCTTATTTAATTAATGGTCTATTCTCAAAATACAGTAAGAGCGAGTCGTTGCATTCCGATTATGGGCTGGCACATGATTTGGAAAGCACACCCTCTGCAGCATACGGATACGGTGCCGGTGGCACCATCCAGCAGCAGCATCCCAAGCAGTTACCGGGATACGGTGCCGGTGGCACCATCCAGCAGCAGCATCCCAAGCAGTTACCGGGATACGGTGCCGGTACCACCATCCAGCAGCAGCAGCATCCCAAGCAGTTACCGGAATTCTACCATGGCACATGTTGTCCAAAACAGCTCACCAACAAAATCCGTGCATATTCTCGCTGCCATATAATGCCCACAGAGAGCAACCTTTTACGCAAAACCATAATACGGATTGTGTCCAGTAGGCCTACATTGATTGTAATTTGAAATCCACCGGGGTTGCAGATGATTCCGAGTGCGCAGAACATTGCTCCTCTCTGCCGGACCTCTTTCCCTGGATGAAACTACAAGGTATATCTGTAAATGTATTTTATGATGTGAGAAAAGTTCTTGCTTCGCCTGATTTATAGTTAATTTTTATTGTTAGGAATAATACGACCACAAACTGTGTGTGTGTGTGTGTTCACTAACGGCTATAGTTTGGGGTAGCCTTTGGTATTAAGTAAATGTTTTGTCTAAAATGGTTAATCTCTCAACAGATACGGGACAGACGTACAGTAGCTACCAGACTCTGGAATATGAGGAGTTTCTATTCAACCTTACTTAACCCGCAAGCGCAAGGTTGAAGTGTCGCACGATCTGGTGCTCACGAACCAGCAGATTAAAATCGGGTTTCAAAACAGACTTATAAAATGGAAAATGGAAAAAGGAGAACAAGAAGGACACATTTCCAGTAAATAGGCTGGATCAGAATGAAATCGAGAAACAAGCAAAAAAAACTGACAAGAAGATTCAGACGTCAGATGAGGAGGGTAAAGGATAAGACTGGATCTAGACTTGGTCATGAGAGGCCACAACAGTGAAATGTATTGTGTTTGTTGATAATTCATTGTCAAATTGAACTTGAAAAGACGTGCACAACTAATTTTAACGCACAATTTTAACGCATCATTCTAATTCGAGGTTTGAGCAAAAGGTTGAAGGTGTGAATCACCTCTGCAGAATAGTCTGAACAGGAATGTATGTTGTTAAAATGTATAATTTGGTAACTTAGTGCAGTATGGTCGCACAACTGCCACATTTTATGGCACTGATAATAATGATTATTCGTTAGATGGAACTGAATCCTAATTTGAGATGTGCATAAACAACTTTGCGCAAATCGAGTCCCTGTCATTTTAATTGGCAGTTTTTTGTCTGCGTTTGTGTTGTGTCAAGAGCCGTTGTCTTGTCAGGCTTTGGCTGTGAAGGCTATACTGGATGTCAATAAAATGTCACCTTTTAAAATGGAAGCTTCACTTTATTGTGAAACATAGTAGGCCTACCTAAAAGTGTAGTTTGGGGGATCTTTGGCATATGGTATTCCCTCAGGAGTTGGTTCCATAGCGGAGAGGAAAAGTTTACAACCAAGATAACATATTGCAGGTCTGTATCCGGTTTCCTCAGTGTTAGTCTATACAGTTTGGCACTATCATCACAAATTCAAAAGATCTAAAGGCATTATAGAAAATGTTATTTTTAAAAGAGGATGTCGGGTAACTGATGAATTCATGCTAATTCAGCAATTTTATATGAATTGGGCCTAGTGTAAAAAAAAGTGTCTACTGAAGGTTAATGTAAAAAAGTCCAAGTGTGGATTATTTAGGGAGTTAATGCCAGGAAAGAGGGACACACACACAATTTCAATTAATTTGTATCCACATTCATGACTCAACAAAGCCCAAAAGTGTGCAGTTAAAGAAAACTGTAATGTATTGAAATGCTTTATTTAGTTTAATTATTGTTTATAGGTTGTTAGCATTTTTTAACTGCAATAAAAGGGGCAAACGTAGGCCTAGGCTCTACTTGTCACATGAATTCGAGGTAGAATAATTTCAAACTGCATTTGACAACATCCAATTCAAAAGATCAAAAGATAGCCTACATAATATTTATCATATTTAAGGATTTTATAGAAAATAATTATAGAAAACGAATTTTCGTTTATAGTCGTGGAGGTTAATTGAGTTATTTCGATTAAAAAAATACTTACCTTTATGATAATTGAATTGAACTAAATAACTGCCCGTTTTCTAGAATAGCCTATGTTCGGTTTGGGTACCCCGTTTTCGGGATATTAGGCCGAATTCTCTATGTGCAACCTTTTGCAGAGGGATTAGGTTGCATTGGGGGGTTTTATGGTTTTATTGCATCTATAAATGTCGGAAATCCTTTTTGTCAACGAAATGAAATTGAACAGGGCACCATGCAAACAGTACCTTGGGATCGGTCTAACCAAGAAATGTTCCATTCATTTGATATTTATTTTTCACCTTATATGCCTGATGTTTTCATACAGGGATATCTTTGGTATATATCTATATCTTAACACGCAACTATTTTATATGTGAGCAAAATCAAAAAATGGGTAGCTCAGTAGGCTATTGCAACGGGATAGGCTTTAATGGAGGGAAATATAACACATTTTGCTTGCATTTGTTTGAAAATGTGTGCTAACGCTATGAAGATAGGCACACCTAAGGGATTCATAAAGGCTACACGGTTGATTATGTAGATATATAGTTTAACTAAATTAATAACTTAATATAGGCTAATGCAAATGTAGACTAGGCCTAGCCTACTATAATTAGCCGTTTACATGGGCTCTTATAAAGGTTTTATCAATCCTTTAAGTAAACGTATAATAGGCTACTTACCCTATAATACAATGTAAATAGTTATCAAACATGTTTTAGATAAGCCTATATGCTAGTGTGGAACTACAATTGGTCAAATGTTTCCATATTTTTGTCTATTGAATTGAATTGATAAGGCATCATCATCAAATGCTCTAAATATGACACCAGCCTGAAATATTATAGGTCTAGCCATTTCGCTTTAAAGACAATGTAGCTTCCAAAAATTGCTTAAGATGCATACCCGTCTTTGAAAGAAAAAGATGGCGATGAAGAAAAAAATGCCTTCTATTGAAAAATGCAATAAATTAGAGTCTGTTTATGAAAATTTACAACTTTGTGATGGAATTTTACGACTGCCTGGGTTCTGGGATTGGCTAAGGTTGGTCATGTGGACTCTGGCCAGGGAACTTTTTCCTCATGAGGTTATATTGCAGCTGTCTGTTTTCTGCCGTTCATTCAGTAACACCTTCGTTTTCTTGGCTTTTTGTTTTAGCTATGGTTCAATTGTGTCAAAGAAATGTGTTCAGTAACTGCGCAGCTCCACCAACTGAGAGATGGAGTCAATGAGGAATCTCTCATCCAATGCTAATGTCGCCATCTCTGAATTGCACCGTCAAAGAAGACTCAATATACGCCAGGACAATGGAATATTGATTTTATTTTCCACAGAGGGACTCGTTTAGTTATTGTTATTTATCGTATGCTTTATACCAAAGGAACAACAATTGAATATCTAAAAAGAACCAAGATAATCGCATCCGGAATACCCACATGCGAAATGATGGATTATCAACAAAGGTAGGTCGTCAAGTCTCAATAATTTCCTATACCACCATAATCATACTAGAGTAGGCCATGAGAGGTTAAAATTAGGTTCGATATAAAACAGTTACACATGTAACATTGGTAACCCTCAAAATGGCTACAGTGTCTTAAAGTCAAGCATTGTTTCCATTTGAAAAACCTGGTTGCTATACTGATAATGTGTTAGTGGCAAGATGGCAGCCGCATCTTTGGTGGGTGACGGGTTCAGATAAATAGGTAGGCCTATATGATACCTCTTGGAAGCTTTTAGACCGGCAGTCCAATTCAAATTCATTCATGCCGCGTTCAAATGCTAGTCGGAACTAGGAAACTCGGAAATGTCAGACTTGCTTATTTGTTGAACATGGCACGTGAATAACTACAACCAGTTAGCATGTCGAAAATGTCCGAGTTTCATAGTTCCGACTACAGTCTGAACGCGGCAATACATCTATGTCGTCGACGATGATGATCATCATCATCATCATCATCATCATCATCATCATAATCATAATCATCATCATCATCATCATCGTCAGCCTCCATCAATTCACTGCATTAATCCAGCTGTATGCTGAATTTTCTTTATCTCGTCTCATTTATTGCTCTTTGACGCCATCTAGTGGCGATAATAGGCCTACATTTGGTGGCGGTGGCACCTCCAAAAGGCTTCTTTCCCAAAGAGCTCCATATTACTTTTGAGTTAAGGATGTATTCGTTCTCAATTACTGCATTTCCATGATTTACCAAGATCAATAAATGCATTCAGTAACACACACACACTCAATTGACATATTGGCAAAAATTATTTAATTAAACAAAAGCAAATTGATATGCATTTTGCACAGAAGCTATTGAAGTTGAATAACTGTCATTCTGTATACAGCAAAGTCGTAGGATACTAAGCTAAAATGTTTGATTAGTTGTTGAAACATAGGCCTAATGCTGTTGAAGGAAAAATTGAATTAATAAAGACAAGTCTACACATATAGACTATTAACTTGGCTCAGCAAAGGCCTGCTTTTCTTGACGTTTAAGTTGGTTATAGAAATTGATTTGCATTAGGCTACTTGTGATAGATAATACGACATTATTTTGAATTAGAAATTTGGAAAACAAGGAAAATATCATCTATTGGAAAAAGGAAAGACGTCATGTTGTAAAGAAAGTGGCTTTGTTTATTTATTTTTTATATATTGACCGTTTTAGTCCTTCAAAAAATAACGATAATAGCATAATAATAATAATAATAATAATAATAATAATGCATATTCAATTAAATAATATAGGCCTACTGATAATATACTTGGTCTTGATCCGTTGGAAAATCATTTTGCCTCTGTGCAAGCATCTGTGCGTTGATTTGTCTTGATCGTGTTTTACTCTTTATCCGGATAGTATGGGAATACCTAGAAAGCATAACGAACACGTTAACTTATACGTCGAAGGAATTATGAAACATAAATGTTATCCAACGGTTTAAAATAACAGATGCATGAAAGTAGAGTTTCAGCTGAAACAATTTAATCCCACTGGGCACACATACACTGGTTGAATCAACGTTGTTTCCACGTATATTCAATGAGATTACGTTGAACCAATGTAGAATAGATGTTGAATTGACGTCTGTGTCCAGCTGGATATGCCCACTTTTCATTGTGCAACTAGCCTACTTCTTATTAATCAGTACTTTACATTTGTGGCTAATTGAACGTGTGTGTGGGGGGGGGGGGGGGGGGGGGGGGGGGGGGGGGGGGGATAGAGAGATGGGAGAAAAAGAGCGGTGCTGCCAGCATTATATTATTTATATAATTTGTTTGCAACGAAATTAAGAACGAAAACGAAATACTTCAATTTTGAATGATCGAGGTTGCTCATTTGATATGTGCAAAGACTGTGCGCGAGAAGCCTGGGCGCTACGTTTCCAGTCACTGGTGACCCCTGTACTCAACAACGGCCCCCCAGGAGGGCAATATTGCAACCGCAGACGCTCGCTATTGGCCAGACGTTGATCAGATGGTACAGTTCCCTTCTGCCCTATTCAGTGCCATCACGCAAGCCCCCTTCAGCTAGAACCAAATCTCCGATAAAGTAATGGCAAAACCACTTGGACTATAAAACACTACAAATCATAGTCCTCGGAGCATACCGTTGTCCATCCAATGAGTTCCTATTTTGTCAACTCAACGTTTCCTGTTTCTCTGCCTGGAGGACAGGAGTCTCTCCTGGGTCAGATACCATTATATTCCTCCGGAAATACTGACCCGTTAAAACACTTTTCTAACGCTACATATGGAGCTGCCAATATGCAAGAGAAAGCTTACCCAACCTCATATTACCAGCAAACCTCTAGTGTCTACGGTCGCCCCAGCTCTAGCGCTCCCTGCGACTACACAGCTGGAACTTTTTACAAGGACAGTGACGGTTCGTGCGCTTTCGCAAGTCGAGAGGAGCAGCCGCTCTTAGTAACTCAGGATCAGCGCAAATCAGAGTGCCTCGAGCAGAATGTAAACATAACCACTGCTGTGGACAACGAGTCTTCTTCTCTGCTGTATCCGTGGATGCAAAGAATGAATTCTTGCACCGCCGGTGAGTGAAACTCTTTTATTTTTTAAAACTTCTGACCTGTTTACAATCAGCATGTTGCCTATCAATCAGGTGACTACTGTAACAGCGTTGCCTGTCCACAAGATGCATTGAGATTGTAGTCCATAAGTAACTATTGCTTATGCAATTTAGACGGAAAAAAATAATTCTACAAGACATTGTGTGAACACACGCATGATGATTTGGATATGTATTGGATTCAATAGCCTAGGACGTGATTGACGTGAAAAATATATTAACAGATAAACTCGTTTTGTATAGGAAACGAAATGTTGTTAAGCTATGTCAAAATACAGTCGGCTATCATGTGAATCAAGGTGATCATTTTAATATGCATTTTTGATTCTTAGGATATCGACGGTTTTACTATAGGCTAATGGAGGCAAATGTATTACATCAAATAATAATAGTAGTCTATGATAATAGTTATTAATAGTGATTATAACAGTATAGCCTATAAAAAGTGATAATAGTGTAAATGTATCCAACAGTCATATTGATTATAATCAATATTTTAGCCTGTCTATACCTTTGTTTCTTACATAATGGATGACTTTTATTTGCATTTTTTTTTTTTTTTTTTGCAGGGACCTTTGGCATCAGTGGGCGCAGGGGCCGTCAGACCTATACTCGATACCAGACTCTTGAGCTCGAGAAAGAATTTCATTTCAATAGGTATTTGACCAGGCGTCGTCGAATTGAGATTTCGCATGCTCTGTGTCTCACTGAACGTCAGATAAAGATTTGGTTCCAGAATCGCAGAATGAAGTGGAAAAAGGAGAACAAAGTTATGAATCCTTCGAAACCCAGCGACGAAGAAGAGGAAAAGAAGCCAGATTAAAAGACACTGAATAAATAAGCTACACAAGCCATAACTGTTGTAACATGAATTGAGAGAAGTTGAATTATTGTTGTTGTTTTTCAGAAAATAGCTGCATGGGCCTACACATTTTTGTGAAATATGTCAATAGGCCTAGACTAATATATTTGCACGATTAAATAACGTATATAGGTTAGAAACAGGTTAAAAACAACTGTAGGCTAGCCTATTCTTATTTGATGGTGTTGTGTTTTTAGTTTTGTGAATATTGTTGCTTGACAGTGAAATAAATACACTCGCACATAATTGCAGGGGCACAATTTCTTGCAGGGGCGTTGATGTGCAACAACAGGCCTAGTCAAAATGACATGATAATTAAATAGTTTGCTTCAAAAAATGCCCCTAATATCGATACAAGAGAGAGGCTTTGTAATAGCCTATGTGTTGTATATCGTTAGTTTTTGGCTTTTACATCGCTTTGTCCTATTCAACTGAATAATGTTTTGACAAGTTATTTATTGTGCACTTGCACACCTGGATGTCATGTGCAGTGTAATACATGTTTTGTCATCTTTTATAAATACAAATAAAGCATTGTTTATTTGTGTAAATATTTCATAGAAAGTTTGCTTGTTTTATTGATGTGCAGGCTAGTTTTATTATTATTTTATTATAATTATAATTATAATTATTATGTCCTGTAAAGATTGACCTAGTTGAGCAAGCCCAACCTTTAGTCTCTCTCTCTTTTAATGATCAAAATGCTAATGTATTACTATAACAGATTACTGGGATACCTGTTGGTAAAATAGTTTAGCCTACTTTTATGTCCTTGAATGTTCTAATAAATTTACAATGAAAAAAGTCTGCATAGCATCCTCACTGACAGTTATCTCCACTGCCAGTAGATGACGCTGTCTGCCTACATGGATATCAGGTCGCAATGGGGAGGCACCATTGCCTTGAGCATAACGACCATCATTTCGTCATCATTTGTAACCATAGAGCATGAATTACCTCTTGAAGTCATCAGTGAGAATTTACGACTGGTCAACAAAGGCACGTGATTCCCGAGCGCTCTCCCATATTTGGCCGCATACCTGGCAAAGTTCAGTAGGCTTCATTGCTATAATTCATGATTACATCATAAATCGTGAAGCAGAGGATTATAGGGACAAATATCTACGAATCGAGTCTTTAAAAACAAGCAAATGAACTCTTACTTTGTTAACTCGTTTTCAGGGCGCTATCCGAATGGGTCCGACTATCAGTTACTAAATTATGGGACTAACGGCGCTGTGAACGGTACGTTCAGGGACCCTGGCACCATGCACTCCGGGTCTTTCGGCTGCAACTACAATGGCATGGACCTAACCGTAAATCGCACCAACACTGGTAGCCACTTCGGGGCTGTTGGGGATGATACCCGTGGTTTCCCGCCCACTGGCCCGGACGCCCGGTACAGACAGCCGACCTGCTCGCTCTCGTCTTCACATCCCCTGCCTTGCGCCAACCCCGAGTCTTTGGAAATAAAAAGCCCCTCTCCTCCATCTGACCAGACCACGACCTCGAGCGGCAATAATAATCTCAACAAAGGCAACAACAGTCATTTCACAGAGATAGAGGATACCGGCGTTGTCTCTGAGTCCGAGGAAGGCGCGCACACAAGCAGCTCCAGCAGCACGGCTGCCCGGGCGCAACAACCACAACAGGAGTCCAACGCAACCTCCACCACGTCAAACGATTGCCAAACGCCACAAATATTCCCTTGGATGCGAAAACTGCACATTAACCATGGTACATACTTCTACTGTGTTTTGTGGTGGTCTTGCTTTGGAGTGGATTGCATGCTCGCTGTTGTGTTTTGCTATAGTCTAAATTTGTAGCATCATAAATCTGTCAAGTGTTGCATGAACTCGGTAAGGTCAGTAAGGATGGTGTATGGCACCGGATGGGGTAGAGTTTTAATGATCATTGCTTTTATGACGGGGTCCAGTGCGAGATAAAAAAATAATAATTGGTAACCTATGAAGGAAATTTAAATCGAAAAAAATAACAATTCAGATAATTACTGTTCGAATATTGAATTTAAATGGTGGACAATTGGTGGGTATTTATATTTATGGCTGGAAGCAAGTTATATTTCTGGTTCTGTAGCTACAATACGTGCATGGCACGCGCCCGCGTGCAGCCTATTCCACAATCTGAATTGCTTCATATCCTTTGTTCTGTTGAATAAACGTGTTTCCTTTTTTAATGTTTTCAATTATATTTCCACTATGTGTTGTCCACTTCTAATTTGGATTTTTCATACAATTTAGAAATGGCTGGACCTGATGGGAAAAGGGCCCGAACAGCGTACACCCGCTACCAGACGCTAGAGCTGGAGAAAGAATTTCACTTCAATAGATACCTAACCCGGAGGAGGAGAATAGAGATAGCCCACACTTTGTGCCTCACGGAACGACAAATAAAAATCTGGTTCCAGAATCGAAGGATGAAATGGAAGAAGGACAATAAACTGAAAAGTATGAGTCTGGTTACAGGAGGTAGCGCGTTCCATAACTGAGCTCGAACTGCAAGTGATGATAAGGGGGAAATCCGGAGTGGAAGCTACAGCGCAGCACCTTTCGGCATGTTGTGATTTTAGACGAAAAAATATTCTATGGTCTTAAACAGACGTTTAGTTTTCCATTGTCTTATGGTAGCCTGTAGAACTTATCTTTGGAAATAGGGGAAAAAAAGAAGAAAAAAAAACTCATTGTCGAAGGGTTTAAAGCCATGTGCTCTGTTTTATCTCTTGAAGGTTGTCATGTTTCACGTGAGCTCTTATATTGTGTAACTTATAAACCGTATAACAGGTGTAACGTGTACAGTAGGCTATGTTTCCAAACCATATCCTGCTCTTCATTGAATGTAAGCCTGTAGATGATGGGATCATTCAAAGCGCTTTAGTGTACGTTTTAATGCTGTATTTATGCTTGATTATCGTGCTCAGAACCTTATGTTTTCAAGGTTTTAAAATACAAGTAACCTATAACAAATGCACAAATATATCAATTGTAATTGTTTAGAACTAAGTACATATTATGTTGCATACTAATGTAAATGTAGGTTATTCAACCTTTCAATGTGACTCATTAGTAGTGGACAAGGAGGGAGTGGTATTATGTGGATTAGCCTATAAGGCAACAGGGATGGTAAACAGTTAGCCAATGAAGCATTTTGTATTTGTATTGGAAATAAAGTTTCTCTCCATCGCTTGATATATTTGAAGCTAAGTATTGCAATTAATTCACCTCTTCATTAAACATATTACAAAATAAGAAATTAGCCCCACAAATGTTGAATGCAATATTGAACATATTCTATCGACACAAATGAGCTATAGCCTAACACTGGTGAACGTAAACCATTCATGGCATTTTGGATAACTTGTATCAACAATTTAGACCTAGCCTACTTCACCTTGCCACGTTCAAACAAATTCACTTCATGACAAAACATTTTTCTATAGCTTCTGTGCTGTTTTACATTAATATATTAGGTAATAACACATTAACAATAATAATTTCCATAGGCGTTTCTATGCATAACATCGTCTTGAGATTACTTTTTTGGGATAGGTTTATGACGTGGATTAAATTTGAGTCAGGTTTGTTGTTGATTTAATGTGGCAAGTATCTGCATTGTTTTAGTCAAACCTATATTGCCACTTATAAAGTGCCCGCCATTATTTTTGCAAGCTGGCCTTCTTTACCAGAAAAACAAACGCTTAACCTTTTAAACTTACCCTCTAACGACTTCTTTGGGTTGAGTTGCTCTTCCGTTTGCTTGTATTTAGATATTCGTTTCCCCATCAAATATCCCAAGATGTAGTCTATCTTACAGGTGCATGGCTCGAAGTTAGTAAATGTCTCCGTACCATAGAACATATAACCCCTTTACTGACTTTGAAAGGTCACGTGGGGTCCATAAAGTTCGTTCTATGGTTTTGGGGAGTAGGCAATGTACTATATAATTCACATTCTTTAATGAAAGTGACGGTTTAACTGCTGCGAGGGGATTAGAAAGGTTGTGGACTGTACAGCGCTAGTCTTGGGATAGAAAGTTCATAGCAGAAATGCATTTTACATTACATTTACATTTTAGTCATTTAGCAGACGCTCTTATCCAGAGCGACTTACAGTTAGTGAGTGCATACATTTTTCATACTGGCCCCCCGTGGGAAACGAACCCACAACCCCTGGCGTTGCAAGCGCAGTGATAAAGTAAAATAAGTCTTCCACTGTATATGATTATAATGAAACAAATATGAATGTTATTCATGTTAGAATTAGACGCAATATATATATTATTTTGAGAATTCATAGATTATAATCGAATTATTGGCTACCTAAACTCCAGCAAATAAGAATTAATTAATTCATTTTGTGCTGCGTAAAACTAGAAAAACTGGTGGAAATTCTGTGGCTTTATGAACAGGGTACTAACTAATTACATTTCTACAATAACTTAATTGAACCTCGTGCAGTCAGTGTAGAGGTTCTGATATTAGAAGGAAAATTAGTCAACAGTTGCTTTGATGGAAAGGCAATGTAGGCTTTACTATACTGCATATGGCTCAGACTGAAGTCAGAAAACTCTGACAAAATCTTGAAGTGAAATTCAAGTCTATACAAAAATTGGACCGTAATGATAAAAGCATATAGCCTAAGGTATAGACACGAGCTTGAGCAGGGGTTTTGTGTCGATCTCCAAGATAAGCCGTTGAACGTGCGTCCAAGGAGAGGATAGGTGAATCCACTGATAACTTTGGGGATCAGACCTCAGACAATTTGAACAAGTTATGCTGGATATATGGAGATCTAAGAATATACATGTTAGGCTTTATGATTCTATAAACGCATCACACACTGATCCTGATTGTATATGCTTGTGTATGTCAAACTTGGAATTACGTGCGACTTGTGTATTTGTAAGCTATTTTATATTGTAATTAGGCCTACGTGTTGCTATAGGTGTTTGGAGCCTTTGTTTTATAATGCATCATGTCTTTGCATAGCTGCAATCATAGCTACATTTGATCTTTCTCCCATTGCGTTCCTGACCTGACCAAATTGTATAAATTCAACCATGCAATCGCAGTACTGCGTAGTGATATCCAATCAAATCTAGGCCAATATGAAAACACTGTTGTTGACATCTTTCGTAAAAAACTGCAATCTAATAATCGAAAATTCAACTAAATGCAATATTCCAGAAGAAGTCGGAAACTTATATATATTTTTTAAAATAAAGATGCAAAAGCGCACACACGCCAATGTTTTCCATTGGGTTGAAACAATTCCACTATTCATAACTGTTAAATAGCCATTTTACCAGGGTAATGAGTATTGCATATTGATAGAGGTAATCTGTGCACGGATCTCATTAATAATTCATAGCCCTGGGATCATAGCGAGGTCACTAGACGAGAGCCAAGTCCACAGATGCAAAGCCGAGGCTCTAACCTACAATACCAATAGGCCTGTTTCTCAGACACCATCCTCGAAATACATAGGCCTACACGAACGGAAAGACGAATTGTTTCATGTGTGCTTTTGGAAGCGTAAATGGTAGCCTATGGAATTGTACCTTGTGTATTCTGTATGGATTCATGCATTTTGTGTTGAATTGGCTATGTTTCGTTTTACATTTCTAGGCCTACTTATTATTTAAATAAAATACAATTGCATGGAAATTATTTACACATTTATTAGTGTGTAGGCCTATTGTTTTGTGTGAAAATTATGTAGTTAGGAATCAAGTTTTACATTGAAAACGCATTGGGAGATCAACATATTTGTTCTTTCTCTGAAAACATGTCTTACAGCAATTGCAATCGAAAAAATATGTTTATATGCATGGATAGATGGCATAATAATCTCGACTCACAAAGTGACCTCAAAGTAAATCTTAAAACATGCGATTGGAGCAGATACGCCTATGAGTTTTCAGTGACGTGTTGTAATGCCACCTGCACACCAGCAGAGCGCGCATCAGACCTGGTTCACTGTTATGGCTCGCAATCTATCTAGACCTATGAACATGTTATAGCCTACAAACAAAACAATAGGCTACTATGTGTCCAATGGATCACATTTATGACGTCTAGACTACTCAAATATTGTTTAAACGTTTGTAAATTAAGCACATACTTTGAAAGTGTAAAAAGGTCCTAAACCTGAAAAGTCTGATTATATGACAATGGCCTATATTTCCAAAGAGGGGAAATAAAATTACCAAATTTCTCGAGTAACATGTAAAAACCTTCTGGATCAAAAATCATTTATTCTATTCTGAATTCTGTTTTAATTCATGCAGGGTGTAGGTCTATACCCACTGTTTGCTAGTTAACTCTAGTAAATCACTAAATCACTATACATTTAATTTCTCTCTCTGTGCTCAGAATTTATATATCTCTTGGGCCCCTGCTCTCTTTTTGGTAAAAGGAGTAGGCCTACATTATTCAATATCATCGAACAAGTCAGAAATTGCTAATGTGTGAGGCCTTGAGGAAGGGGTGAAACGCAGGTCACCATTTCTAACAAATATTAAAATGCCATGGGATTCGTGAGGCCCGCTGTTCATCAAAGGCTTCATGTCAAAAAACGAGATTAATTAGAAATCTCTTGTGTCCACCTCTTAGGGGGGCAGCATTTTCACAATGAAAGAGCACCAGTAGGCCAACTACATGCTTTTTGAATAGGAGAGACAAGTGGTGTTTGCATGCGAACGCAGGACCAAACAAAATGTAGGACCCAGTGGCCATATGATGTGATAAAGACCCCTTTTCTGGTTGAAATCTGGTCGGGACCTCTTATACCAGATCACAACTAGATTAAGACGTCTTTTTCATGACGTCTTTTTGACATAATGAAAAATAGGCCTACATCTTATTTTCCTTGATATCTGGTTATTAGTTGAAATCTGATTGAACTGTATTCTATAATATTCTACTGTATCTTAGTCCATGCCGCTCTGTCATTGCTTGTCCATATATGTATATATTCTAAAATTACATTCATTTTAGTCATTTAGCAGACGCTCTTATCCAGAGCGACTTACAGTTAGTGAGTGCATACATTATTATTTTATTTTTTCATACTGGCCCCCCGTGGGAATCGAACCCACAACCCTGGCGTTGCAAACGCCATGCTCTACCAACCGAGCTACATCCCTGCCGGCCATTCCCTCCCCTACCCTGGACGACGCTTGGCCAATTGTGCGCCGACCCATGGGTCTCCCGGTCGCGGCCGGCTACGACAGAGCCTGGATTCGAACCAGGATCTCTAGTAGCACAGCTACTGCGCCACTCGGGAGATTTGTGTGTATTGGGTATATGTTGTGAAATTGTTAGATATTACTTGTTAGATATTACTGCACTGTCGGAGCTAGAAGCACAAGCATTTCACTACACCCGCAATAACATCTGCTAAACACGTGTATGTGACAAATACTATTTTATTTTATTTTATTTATCTAAATGCTACTCAAATAGATACCAATATATATAAACACGTGCAC